AACATGTGTATGTATCCCACATGGTGATTACTGAAAAACACCAGTTATTTATTCTACGAGACTTCAAACAGAAAAAAGTATGGAGAAATGTTATTCTTTTATGAATTCATCACTACCTTAATACATATGATAAGTCTGTAGGCAACATAGTAACTGCATCTTGGTACTTTACCTAGAGGTTCACTGGCGAAATAGAAAGGAACTTGAGGCGTGAGAGTCTATAACATCTACAACTTAGCAACATCAAATTTTGGTAAAATTGTTCTTGTTCTTGTAGTGCAGATATTCCCGCTCATGCCTGGTTGTTCTCCACCCTCCTGCACCATCATGGGTGTTCATGGTGAAGACGTCTACGATACCATTCATCCATCCATCTCCACTAACAAGCTGTGTTAAGGGCTTCTCAGAGGTGTCTATTAATTTATTACTGTTATAATGGACTTGGCAGTCACTGTACCTTGCCAATGGTGTTTCTGATGCCACAATGTTGTTTACTGGCTGCGAGAAATATAAATTTGTCCACATATTGCCGCCCTCTTTTCTTAGTGTTATTCCACGGACTTGTACGTAGATGACGCATAAAATAAATATAATTTCATTTAAACTAATCATTGTGCAATATTTAGACATGTTGCCTTGTCACATGCTTGTTATAATACGTGATACTCTTAACTGAAATATAAAAGTAATGAATTAAAATGCTTATATTTTAACGAGCTAAGATAGATCTTTGGTATAAAAAAAAACAGTAACCTCATCCAAAAGTTGCAATTTTTATGAAAATGGAACACTAATATCTAGAAAAACTAATACACAGACTTCGAAAAATTTTAAGTGACCATCTGTCTGTATTATTATTATTATAATCAAAGGGAAGCGCTAAACCCGTAGGGTTATACAGCGCCTGAGGGGGAAGTGGAAGGTTTTTTTTTTTTTTTTTCAACAAGTCGGCCGTCTCCCACCGAGGCAGGGTGACCCAAAAAAGAAAGAAAATCCCCAAAAAGAAAATACTTTCATCATTCAACACTTTCACCACACTCGCACATTATCACTGTTTTTGCAGAGGTGCTGAGAATACAACAGTCTAGAAGCATACACATATAAAGATACACAACTTTATCCCTCCAAACTGCCAATATCCCAAACCCCTCCTTTAAAGTGCAGGCATTGTACTTCCCATTTCCAGGACTCAAGTCCGACTATATGAAAATAACCGGTTTCCCTGAATCCCTTCACTAAATATTACCCTGCTCACACTCCAACAGATCGTCAGGTCCCAAGTACCATTCGTCTCCATTCACTCCTATCTAACACGCTCACGCACGCTTGCTGGAAGTCCAAGCCCTTGCCCACAAAACCTCCTTTACCCCCTCTCTCCAACCCTTTCGAGGACGACCCCTACCCCGCCTTCCTTCCCCTATAGATTTATATGCTTTCCATGTCATTCTACTTTGATCCATTCTCTCTAAATGACAAGTGGAAGGTATTCAGGTTTAATTCAGGGAACGAGAACAGATCCAATTCCCTAGATCAAGAGCCCCTCACCAGCATCAAGGAACCTTCCTTGAGGGGCCATCTGTCTGTAATACAACAGTAGTCCATGACCCATTACATACAGCTAGTCCAAAGATTCGCTAGTATAGTACTTATTAAGTATCAAGTTCAACACGTGTGTACGAATTTATAAACAAAAAATCAGGATTTTCATCCAGAGGCAAGTAACACATGTACTCTGTGAATGGTTGTGGAATTTTGTACATACACCTAAATCTTCCGCCATAGGCTAATAAAAATTAAAGTATTTACTATTTTATTTTGCATACCCGTTAAAGTCATGTTACCCTTCATAACCCTGTGAATCCATAGACTCGCATTTTTTCAGAGGGTTTAGGCCTTAATATAAATTCAGGGTAACAAGGTAACAACCTGACAACACTCACCCAGGGTAATCAGTTTACTAATTACTTGTGTACGAATTATCCCAAGGAAAGTATAATGACCTTTGTAAAACAAGGTAAAAGATATTAAAATTTTACATTTATCTTTTCAAATGTAATTCAGCATGTTAGAAAAAAAATGACTAATGTTAGGGAGCATTCTCATTTTATTTGATGTTTAGTTATGTGACGTTGTTAATATGGACATTATTGATGTCTGAAGGAAAAAAATAGTTCATGCAGAGATTTTATTTTTTTTCCTCATTTATGGAGGGGTGGGCTAAATCCGCAGGGTTCATACACTGCCTGGGAAACTGGAGACAATATAATCCGATCGAATGAAGGGTAGTTTCAATTCCACAGATCAAAAGCCCTTTCGCCAGCATCGAGACCCCTCCCCCTCCTTGCTCCAGGAGCACAGACAACCCAGCTGGTATTAACTATCTGGATCGGTAGTTGACGCACTCATTAATAAGCCTTGACAGCAACACTTCTGAATATTTCAGAGCTTCTGTGTACTCGTCAAAGTGTACAAAATTATTTAATTGTATTCAATAGCACTATTATACACCGAACCCAACGATGGAAAGGAGCGATTAACGCAATTCTGTACAGTCAGTAACACGAAAGTTTAGACGAATTAGTGGAAAAGGGAGGGGCTGATTTAGTTATGTTCGTCCAGTTACTAGTGTCTGAAGCTATGACTGGTATACTACCTGTCTATTTCTCTATGTAATACGAGTCTCCTGGCCCGGTGGCCTGGTGGCTAAAGCTCCCGCTTCACACACGGAGGGCCCGTTCGATTCCCGGCGGGTGGAAACATTTCGACACGTTTCCTTACACCTGTTGTCCTGTTCACCTAGCAGCAAATAGGTACCTGGGTGTTAGTCGACTGGTGTGGGTCGCATCCTGGGGGACAAGATTAAGGACCCCAATGGAAATAAGTTAGACAGTCCTCGATGACGCACTGACTTTCTTGGGCTATCCTGGGTGGCTAACCCTCCGGGGTTAAAAATCCGAACGAAATCTTATCTTATCTTTAATAAAGTAAACATGGTGATTTTTTTAGCACTGATCGTCCCCTCATAAAAGCTATAATCGTGTGATAGTCTTATTCAATTTCTTTTATATATTATCGTCAGGTAACAGTGAATAATATTCGTGCCCCTGTTCCCATAAGAGGCTATCACAATGCCAAAATTGTGTGTTTATGCATTTCTTACTAAATATTCTTTAGCATAAAAAAACGAAGTGATTTTTACCAATAATGAAAATTTGTAGAAATTTTCTATAATCTTTTTTTTTACATACCAAAACTAATCAGAGTGGCAACTGAGTTCATGGAACTTGACGTTTGAGCAATACTTCCCACAGGTGTGATAAAAAAATCCTATGCATCATTCATTTAAAGCGAGATAGTTTTGATAGATAACATGCTAATGAATATCCGTTCCCCTGCTGCCACAAAAACTGCTCACTAACTGCCTGGTTAGTAATTTGCTACTGTATGGACAAGTGTTACTAAACTACTTGTTTTCTTAATTTAGCAAGGAGCTTAGATGCAGTTTTAATGTTTTGGAAAAGTGCTTGAGGACTACAGGTGGGTTGGCTCAAACATCTTAATACCAATTAGGGTATTAATTACAGATACAAGACCTTGGCTGCTAAGAATATTAAGATCTTAAGCTCTCGACTTGCTAAATTGTAAATATTTTCACTGTTTATTCACAGATTATCCAAATTATCCGTCTTTATCTCTTCGTGCAGCCTTTATAGTTTTAGCATTATTACAACGTAAACATACTTCCACATGACTGAAGCGAGTTTGCTTTTTGGCAAATATTTGTTAATACCTAGAGCATTCCTGGAGAGTTTCGGGGGTCAACGCCCCCGCGGCTTGGTCCGAGACCAGGCCTCGTGGTGACAAAATTACCTACTAATACAGGTTGTTCAGCAGGTTTATAGTTATTTATAACATCAAGGTAATTTTCTACCTTTGCAATGCCATATCGCTAAATTTAAGTAAAAATATTTGCTTTAGCTTACCGTGCTAATCATCACTGTCGTAAGAGTAATAATCATAAGAACTTTCTATGTATCCGAGTTAGTGAGCCAACAATTAATTACTTTACAAGAAATCCTGCCCTTAACATATTAAGATTACCTCACAGCAGCTACGTTGCTAATGATATTCCAAAGTTTTAAGATTATCAAGAACTCGTGGAGCACCGTACACAACACAACGCCTGTGTGGAGCACCGTATACAACACCTGTGTGGAGCACCGTACACAACACCTGTGTGGAGCACCGTACACAACACCTGTGTGGAGCACCGTACACAACACCTGTGTGGAGCACCGTACACAACACCTGTGTGGAGCACCGTACACAACACCTGTGTGGAGCACCGTACACAACACCTGTGTGGAGCACTGTACACAACACCTGTGTGGAGCACTGTACACAACACCTGTGTGGAGCACTGTACACAACACCTGTGTGGAGCACTGTACACAACACCTGTGTGGGGCACTGTACACAACACCTGTGTGGGGCACTGTACACAACACGTGGAGCACCGTACACAACACCTGTGTGGAGCACCGCACACAACACCTGTGTGGAGCACAGTACACAACACCTGTGTAGAGCACCGTACACAACACCTGTGTAGAGCACCGTACACAACACCTGTGTAGAGCACAGTACACAACACCTGTGTGGAGCACCGTACACGACACCTGTGTGGAGCACCGTACACAACACCTGTGTGGAGCACTGTACACAACACCTGTGTGGAGCACTGTACACAACACCTGTGTGGAGCACTGTACACAACACGTGGAGCACCGTACACAACACGTGGAGCACCGTACACAACACCTGTGTGGAGCACAGTACACAACACCTGTGTAGAGCACCGTACACAACAAACCTCTATGGAGCAACGTACACAACACCTGTGTGGAGCACCGCACACAACACCTGTGTGGAGCACCGTACACAACACCTGTGTGGAGCACAGTACACAACACCTGTGTAGAGCACCGTACACAACACACCTGTATAGAGCAACGTACACAACACTTGTGTGGAGCACCGTACACAACACCTGTGTGGAGCACCGTACACAACACCTGTGACTGGGGACTGATAGAGGAGCACTATGAACGTTACCAGGGAGCGGGACAGTCAGTAGAGTGCGATGGTTGCCTGTGTCTACCAGCCCAGGCTACCTTCCCATCCTGTGGGTGGTAGTCAATTGCTTATTCCCGGATTATTATTTATTCTACCTTTAGACCCCACCTTATAACATTGTTATAAACAACCCTCATAATAATTTAACAAACCAAACTTCATCGAAGTAAACCTCTTTACCAAGCCTTTCCAACTATCCTCACAATGATTACCCCTCTAGGGGGTTCCTTGACGCTGGTGAAGGACTCTTGGTCTAGGGAACTATCTGTGGTCCAGTTCCCTGAATTAAGCCCAAATACCTTCCATCCCCTCCCCCACAGGAGCTGTATAATCCTACGGATTTAGCGCTTCCTCATGATTATAATAATTATAATAACTCTCACTGATTACGACTCCACCATTCGTTATATCTACCCGTACCCTTTAGTCTCTTCAAAAAAACGCGCATTGAGATTCTTTTATAACGGAGACTCCAGCCACCAAGTTATCTACATTAAATCCCGGGAAAGCCCTCACTGATTTAATATGCGTTGAAACCATTACGTAAATTTTACCTAAATGTAAACCGTATGTTCCCCGGACATAGGTATGCGGGGGAAGGCCTGGATGTTGTGGCATCCAATACACTCGTCTCTCAGTACCCCATTCAGTGCCTGGGAGTAGTAACACGCTACTCTAGGCGACATAGCATACCTCCTCTTGACTAACCTCAAAAACCATTGAGTATGGCTGATAATTAACTTTCCCTGACATGACCGTTAACAAATCATATAGTACCTCATCCAGAATTGCCTCTGTCCCCATCGCAGTAGGATGTTCCTCGACACCTTCCATCACAATCTGTTGGGTGTTAACCTCAGGTGTTATAACACCTACAAGTGATGACAAGCCCTGCCACCAGTCGCACTCCAAGGTTATTCACGTTTCCGACCTGATGTAGCTCACTCCTCTGCCTGCTGCGCCTCATCCTCCCTAAGGCTCCCAACCACTAACATCTGGGTTCTTGCTTTCGCGTCTCGACCCTCCTGATTGAAACTTCAAGTGAGCATTGCCTCTTCTGATGTGTCTCCCCTTGAGGCTGGTCCCCTGGTCTTCGAATTCCCCAGACATTCTACAGCCATATGATCAGATGCATCACAAATGCGACACGTCCTTCTTCCCACATAAGCAACCATGACCTGAAACCCAATAGAGGATCGGTTGGTAAGGCTCTCGTCTCACATACTGAATGTTCCGTGGTTCAATCCCTGGCCAGGTGGAAACGTTAGGCAAGATTCCTTACACCTGCTATACCTGTTCATCTAGCAGTAAGTAGGTACCTGGGTGTTTGTTAGCTGGTGTATGTGTCGCATCCTTGGAGACAAGACCGAAGGACCCGTGAAAATAAAGTCCTCGATGACACACTGACTTTCTTGGGTTATTTTGGGTTACTAACCCTCCCTCCTGGCTAAATATCTGAACACATCTTATCTGAGTTATAATGTCGGCACGCCTCTGGTAAGACGGTACTCACCTAATTGTGGTTGCAAGGGTCGAGACTCAGCTCCTGGCCCCGCCTCTTCACTGATTGCTACTAGGTCCTCTCTGGTGGATGGTGAATGTGGAAAATTGCATTTACCTGAATGTATCATTATATACATAACAGTAAATGAACATAGATAATTATTATTTATCAGTTAGACAAGTAGGAATTTGGGACACCTAGGTCGCAAAAAATGTCCCCCTTCGATACCTACCACTGTCATATCCACAAGTTGCTCTGGACCTATTAATTAAATGAAATATACATCACCAGGAATTCTGGTAAATATATAAATTTGTGGACTGTATATTAAATTAAAAAATTATTATATATTACCATAAGTAATGATTATATATTACCATAAGTGACTTTCAACAAGTCAACTGCTTCCTTGTAAGAGTCATTTACATTGGGAAAGGCTTGTATGAGTATGTGAGCATCTCCTCTTACCTGTCCTTTGAGGTAAAATAATTTAGTTACACAGGCTAGGTCACTCCTGTCATGCACAGCTGCTTTAAAAATTGACCAAAATTCCTCCCAGTTTTCTCCAGGATTAAAAACAGGTAAACATAGTTCTGGGAGTTTTGGCAAAGACATATTATTTGTTGGAGCAGACTGATTAACTGCCTGGTTTACACATTTTAATTTATTCAAAGCCTGACTTTTACAAGAATCTTTTCTTCTAATTCATAATTATTATAATTATAATCATGGGGAGCGCTAAACCCGTAGGATTATACAGCGCATGTGGGGGGATGGAAGGTATTCAGGTTCAATTCAGGGAACCGGAGCACAGATCCAATTACTGATTAATCATGAGATCTACTTCAGTTTCATCTACACAGTTTACTAACAAATCTCCTTCATATTTGTTGTAATATAATTTTTATGAATCATATCTATTATCTAAAGCATCTAAATACAATTTTAAATCATCAGTATTCACAGTTTCTTGATTCATTAATTCCAAGCATTTATTGTATGCTTTTGTTACATGCCCCTTTCTAGCTTGCAGAGATGCTTTCTTTGCTCTATATTCCATATGTTTGTCTTCTACATTAATTTCCTCAATTTCAGCCATGATGCAATGTATTAAACTCATCTTAATAACACTGATTATGTACTAAATTATGTACTTTATAAAGGTAAATAGTACAACTTACCTTTGAATAAATCCTAGCTACCTGAGCTTAGCAATTACATGTATAATATAAATTTTAAATGTACAGTAACACAAACTTGGCTCATCAAAATTAATATTATACAAATTAATAAATCCTTGCCAGAATTTGGCATAGCAAAATTAATATACACATTAATAATTAGCTACACATGGCTTATCAATTACACATACACTGATATAAATCTTGGCCAAAATTGGCTTATCAAATTAATATTATACAAATATAAATCCTTGCCAGAATTTGGCATAGCAAAATTAATATTATACACAATATAATCTTTATCCACACTTGTCTTATCAATTACACTTACACTGATATAAATCTTGGCCAGAATTGTCTTATCAAATTAGTATTATACAAATTAATATAAACTTAGCCAGACTTGAGCTAAGCTTATCAAAATTAATATTGTAATAATTATAATCCACTATACATTAAGTAAATTTATGAACTTAACATCCACCTCCTTCTGTCATTTCACATATAATTATTAAGTAATTAACTAATTAATGACTTCACTAATTACCTCCGGTTCAAGAAGGACCAACGGGCAAATTAAATGTGGAAAATTGCATTTATCTGTATGTATAATTATGTACATAACAATAAATGAGCATAGATAATTATTATTTATCAGTTAGACAAGTAGGAATTTGGGACACCTAGGTCGCAAAAATGTCCCCCTTCGATACCTACCACTGTCATATCCACAAGTTGCTCTGGACCTATTAATTAAATGAATTATACATCACCAGGAATTCTGGTAAATATATAAATTTGTGGACTGTATATTAAATTAAAAAATTATTATATATAAATACACATATACAGGGCCGGATTAAGAAGTCTCCGGGCCCTAGGCTATTCAGATTGGCGGGGCCCCTTTGAGTTACGGGTAAGCGAAGCGACCCCTTCCAGCTTGGGGGGTTGGGGGGTTGGGGGGGTCGGTGTGAGCCTGTTTAAGGTCTAATTAAATACATTCTGGCTATTTAGATTAAATTTAATAGGGAAAGTACATCAAGACAACCAAAACCATTTACCAACAGCCATTATAACTATCTTGTTAAATCATGCATTTTAAAGAGAATAAACTCAAGACAGCATAGTATTACTAGATTAGGCTATTAAAGTAGTGACATCATGTACCTATTATATTCAGCATAACCACTACAGCACTATTATTCCCTTTATAAATCACTGACCATTATTGTTATCATTGCATCATGCATAAGACTATCAAATCATATAAACTCAAGAAGTAAAGAATTGTTTATATTCACAAGCACTTCTTAAATAAACTTTTTTCTGGATTTCATATTGGCAAAATCATCAATTATATTCTGAAAATCAATATTTCTTGTTAGATCAGACTCAATGGTCAACAAGGCTAGGTTTACACAATTTGTCTTGACTCATTGTTGAACGGAGCTGGTTTTTCACTCTTTTCAAAACAGAAAATGAACGTTCTCCTTCACAGTTAGTAGCTGGAAGTGTTAGGTAAAGGCGATACACTATGTCAACATTAGGGAAGGTTTCTGAGATACCTGCATTTCTTAAATGTTTCAAAGCAGCTGAGGGCGCACATTTTTCAGGTGGAGCTTTAATCTGATTCATATACCCAGAAAAATGAACTATTTCTTCAACAAATGTGTCCTGAACATCTGCTGAAAGGTGTTGTTGCAACTTTAATGCAGCTTCTCTCAGTTCTGCATCTGGCATAGTAGTAATTTTGAACAGAAATCCAAACTTATCATTGAGATTCTGGTAGATTTCTTTTCTTTTCACCAATTCTGTAATCAGTGAATCCAGAATGACGAAGTATGTAGCTGTCTTACATTTCTGCCTTGGTAGCAACACAATTTCATTGTCTGGCTCTTCAAAATTGCGTTTCCTCTTCCTTGACCGCTGATGATCAGTCCGGTAACTGTAGTCTTTCACCAGCAGTTTAGCTTTCTCTTCAAACATTTCAAAAGCTTCATCATTGCGAAGTGAGCTTACAAATTCCACTAAGCCTGCATAGAGGTTAGCACAAGTAGCCATTTCAATTTAAATTTTCTGAAGTGTCTTCTTGTTCGTGGCATTTAACCGTTCCAGTATACAGTCCCAAAGCACACAGAGTAAGGCCAATTCAAAATCTTCCAATTTTGATGCTAAGCTGGCTGCTTCGCTTCTTGTAGTTGCTGTCTGGTCTTCATCCTCTGCTATTTGGATCAAAGCAGAACGTATTTCAGCAAAGCTGTCTTTCAAAGCATGTGTTGCATCATGCTGCGCTGACCACCTTGTTGTTGATAATGATTTGA